GCGGGAGGAGGAGGAGGAGGAGGAGGACGAGGAGGATGGGGAAGAGCAGAAGGAGGAGGAGGAGGAGGAGGAGGAGGAGGAGGAGGAGGAAAGGGGGGGGTCGGGGAGGAAGTAACCGTGTGCTTGCGGCGCCGGCTGTTTTGCGCCGTCGAGCTGTACACCACGCGCGGCGCAGGGGAGAGGGTAGGCGGCGCGCACAAGCGGGGTAGAATTGTGCTGGTGAGAACACTGCCCTGGGGGTAAGTCAGTTCGGGGTCCAGGGCGGGAGAGTCAACTTTGTCCCGAACATATCGATGTTAGGACGTGTCGGAATCGCGTTTCGCATGGGACATCCCCACAGTCAAAGCTACGATAGGGGAACTCTGAAGGGATACTAAAAGTTCGGCCTCCCCGCCTGCTGTTTCAAGTGAACCACATTCAATCCAATGGATGAAAATAATTAAGGGGAAACGGGGGGATGCTTTATCATCTTGGGGGTTCGGTGGGGGAGGGGGGAAGGTTCTTAGAAGGAGGCTGCGTCATGAAGGACGCCAGCCTTACATCCACAGACAAAGCCCGCGCCCTCTAAGAGGCAGGGGGTGCGTCTGAGACCTTTCCCCCCCCCCCCCCTCTGCGAGTGGCTAAGGGGGGGAGATGGGGAGGGGAGGTGGGCCAGGACATGACGTCTTGCAAAACTCAGTCGGGCGGGCGGTATTGGGAGGTGGCCTAAACAGGAATGGGAGGAGAAGGGCCCAACAAGGCGCCTGTGGAGCCCCTTTTGGGCGCAAGCAGGTGCCCAACAGGGGCCAGAAAGGGCCCCTTTGGGGCCCTTTTCTTCACCCCCCTATTTATTGACGGCGCGCACAAGGTGGTAGGGGGAGGGGGAAATGCTTCTTAGAAGGAGGCTGCTTCTTAGAAGGCGCCAGCGTTACATCTACAAAAGGAGGCCCGCGCCTTCAAAGAAGCAGGCGTGCTTCGAAGAAGCCTTCCCCCCTCCCCCTTACCCCCCTCTGCGCGTGGCCGGATTGAGCTCACCCCCCACTCAGATCCCCCCCCCACTACCACCCGCCCGAAAAGCGGCACTCTCTCCTCGTCTTCCCTGACATTCCCGGAGGGGTAAAAAATAGCGCCCGACCTAAAAACCTATCCCAGAGCTGTTCTACGTCTTGGTTTTATGCAGTTTCGTTTAGTGTTTTAGGTTTTTCCCCACATGTTTCGTGGGGTTCTGGTTTTCTTCCCTTCCGCGTCTCACCCGCGTCTCCTCCTTTTCCTCCCTCTCCTTTTCCTTTGCCTTTTCCTTCTTTCTCACCTCACGGAGAGCGCGGCAGGCGTGGTTCCTCCCTCTCCTTCTCTGCGCAGGGCACGGCAGGCGTGGCAGTTTCTCGACACCAGAGGGGGTGCGCAGGGGGTGGTCCCTGAGCGCGGCGTCTATGCGGGCCATGGCGCAGGGCACTGCAGGCGTGGCAGTTTCTCGACACCATAAGGGGGATGCGAAGGGGGTGGGTCCCTGAGCGCCCGGCGTCTATGATGCGGGCCCATGGCGCAGGTCCACGGCGGCGTGGCAGGTTTCCCTCGCCACCAGACGGGGTGCGCAGGGGGTGGTCCCCTGAGCGCGGCCTCTATGCACGGGCCATGGGACGCAGGGCCAACGGTCAGCGTGGCAGTTTCTCGCTCCCCTAGGGGGTGCGCAGGGGGTGGTCCCTGAGCGCGGCGCCTTCTTGCCGGGGCCATGGCGCAGGGCACGGCGGCGGTGGACAGTTCTCGACACCAGAGGGGGGTGCGCAGGGGGTGGTCCCCCTGAGCGCGGCCGGCTTATTATTGCCGGGCCATGGCGCAGGGCAACGGCAGGCGTGGCAGTTATTCTCGAACACCAGAAGGGGGTGCGCAGGGGTGGTCGCCTGAGCGCGTGCGTCTAATTGCGGCCATGCGCAGGGGCACGCCAGGCGTGGCAGTTTCTCGACACCAGAGGGGGTGCGCAGGGGGTGGTCCCTGAGCGCGGCGTCTATGCGGGCCATGGCGCAGGGCACGGCAGGCGTGGCATTTCCTCGACGCCAGAGGGAGTGCGCAGGGGGTGGTCCCTGAGCGCGGCGTCTATGCGGGCCATGTCGCAGGGCACGGCAAGCGTGGCAGTTTCTCGACACCAGAGGGGGTGCGCAGGGGGTGGTCCCTGAGCGCGGCGTCTATGCGGGCCATGGCGCAGGGCACGCAAGCTCCGAAAAGTTTTTTCCCTCGAACAACGCGACCCACATTAATCAGGGGGTGGTTCCCTGAGGCGCGGCGTCTATATGCGGGCCATGGCGGCAGGGCGACGGCAGGCGTGGGCAAGTTTCTCGACACCAGAGGGGGGTGCGCATGGGGTGGTTCCCTGAGCGCGTCGTCTATCGGGCCATGGCGCAGGGCACGGCAGGCGTGGCAGTTTTTTCTCGGCCCTGAGCTGCGGGCCGTCTATGCGGGCCTGGCGCAGGGGCACGGCAGGCCGTAGCATTTTCCCCCTCGAGACACCAGAGGGGGTGCGCAGGGGGTGGTCTCCCTATGCGCGCCAGGGTCGTCCAGACATAGCAGGCGTGGCATTTCCTCGACACCAGAGGGGCTGCGCAGGGGGTGGTCTCCCTATCCGCGCCAGGGTCGTCCAGGCATAGCAGGCGTGGCATTTTCCCCCCCCCGACACCAGAGGGGGTGCGCAGGGGGTGGTCTCCCTATGCGTGCCAGGGTCGTCCAGGCATTGCAGGCGTGGCATTTTCTCGACACCAGATGGGGTGCGCAGGGGGTGGTCTCCCTATGCGTGCCAGGGTCGTCCAGGCATTGCAGGCGTGGCATTTTCTCGACACCAGAGGGGGTGCGCAGGGGGTGGTCTCCCTATGCGTGCCAGGGTCGTCCAGGCATTGCAGGCGTGGCATTTTCTCGACACCAGAGGGGGTGCGCAGGGGGTGGTCTCCCTATGCGTGCCAGGGTCGTCCAGGCATAGCAGGCGTGGCATTTTCTCGACACCAGAGGGGGTGCGCAGGGGGTGGTCTCCCTATGCGTGCCAGGGTCGTCCAGGCATAGCAGGCGTGGCATTTTCTCGACACCAGAGGGGGTGCGCAGGGGGTGGTCCCCCTATGCGTGCCAGGGTCGTCCAGGCATAGCAGGCGTGGCATTTTCTCGACACCAGAGGGGGTGCGCAGGGGGTGGTCTCCCTATGCGTGCCAGGGTCGTCCAGGCACAGCAGGCGTGGCACGCAAGACATAAAATCAGCATGTGGGGTTCCTCGGTAGCGTAATTAGGTCTCCAGTGCTAAAACATAGGTCTCTGGGAGGTCAGGGTTCGGCCTTTGGCGGCCCTCGCTGGGCGCCTTGGGCCGCCAACCAGCTGCTCGGGACGAAGAGCCAGACCTGGGAAAAAGGCCGTGTGCCTTCCGGGCTCCGCGCAGGGAAGACTCGGGCCATCGCATGTCTGGGGGGGGGAGCGGGCGTCCCTCGGAAGTGGAGGGAGAGAGAGAGAGAGGAGGGGGGGGGGACATGGGAGGAGGGGGGGGAGGGAAGTTGGGAAGCAGGAGTGGGGGTGGAGGGTGATGCAGAGGAGGAGGAGGAGGATAAGAACGTGAGACCGCCCTCAGCTATCAGGCTACGAGGAGGAGCAGGAGGGGAGGATGTGAATGATGAGACGAAATTTGAAGAACGAGGGGGAGCATTACGAGCATGAGGAGGCTGAGGATGATTTGGTGGCGTGCGCGGGGGGAAGTGAGATGGTGGGGCCTTCTCAGAAGGCTCGGAAGGCAGCTGGCCTTCTGAGACATGTTTCTCTAAACCAATTCCCGAAGGAGGAAAACACTTTTCAGAAGGCAGGAGGGCTTCTGAGAAGGCCCGCCCCCTCTCACTTCCCCCCTAGGTTCTCTGCCGAATGATGAAGATGAGAGGGTGGCATGTGGGAGACTGAAGACGACAGGGTGGGGGGCGCGCGAGAAGCAGAATGAGGACAAATCGAGAAAGAGTGGCAACAAAGGGAAATCGTTAGATTGGAGGAGAAAAAAATTGATAGGGATTTGACTCGAAGGATTGTGGGTCGTAAGATCGGAGAGAAGCATAATGACGTAAATGATAGAAAGGAGGATGAGGAGGCGGGGCACGACGACGATGAACACAAACAGATAATTCCGCAGCCAGTCCTTTTCTCGACGACGGGAGTCGCAGAGCTAGGGCGCCTCGGATCTGGCCCACCGCGCGGCAGACTCTTCTGTGGCAACTAACAGAGCCTCCCGTGTCGTCTTGCCGGATCGTGCGAATCAGCGCTGACCGATGCTGGATCCACACGGGTCGAGGCTGGGTCGGCCCTTTCTCGTCGACTACCAGGCGCGCTCGCACGCGCATCGGCGCTGACCGACGCCAGATCCACACGGGTCGAGGCTAGATCGGCCCTGGCTCGTCGACTACCAGGCGCGCTCGCACGCGCATGTGCTCTCTCTCCGAGGACGGACCTAACTGCGAGGACACACGAGGCTCCCGCGATCCCTGCCGGAGGGACCGCCGCCGCGACACGCTAAGAAAAGGATCCTCCTCCTCCTCCTCCTCCTGCGTGAGGACGACTCCTTAAGCCCACTACTAATAATACTAGGACTCAAAAAATCAGGTAAGATTATCCTCATCTACCTATTCATTCATCTGTCCTCCTCCCCCCCCTCCCCCCCCCCCACCCCCACCACCCCCCACCCCCCCCCCCCCCCCACTCCCACTTCCTCTCATCATCCTCCTCCTCCTCCTCCTCCTCCTGGAGCCTCCTTCCTTTCTCCTCCTCCCTCCTCTCCTCACTCTCCCCGCCTCCTACTCTTCCTCCTCTCCTCCTCCTTTGTTCTTACGCATCCTTCCCCTACTTTTCCCCCCCCCCCCCTCCGCTCCTCCTCCTCCCCCTCGTCCTTCGCCTCCTCCTCCTCCTCCTCCTCCTCCTCCTCCTCCTTCTCCTCCTCTTCCCTCCCTCCTCCTCCTCCTCCTCCTCCTCCTCCTCCTCCTCCTCCTCCCGACCGCACCCTCGTGCCATCGGGCCTTTGGGGCGCTGCCGCTTCGCCGCCTGTAGTCTGGGCAAGCCTGGACGATGATGATGACGATGATGATGACGATGATGATGATGATGATGATGATGATGACGATGATGATGACGATGACGATGACGATGATGATGATGACGATGATGATGATGATGATGATGATGATGACGAGCAAGATGATGATGATGATGACGAGCATGATGATGGTGATGATGCTACTGGTGATGATACGGATCATGGTGATGATGAGTATGATGACGATGATGATGCTGCTGATGATGATGATGAGAACGATGAGGATGAGAACGATGATGATGATGATGATTGCAACGATGATGGTCATGGTGATGGCTCTGAAGACGATGGCGATGGTGACGATGTTGAGCTTGATGAGCTTATGCTGTTGATGATCGCGACGATGATGTTGCTGTTGATGGTTCTGATTGTTCTAATACTGGCGACTGCGGTGGTGATGACGATGGAGATGAAGCCAATGACGATATCGGTGACGATGCTGCTGACGATGGCGATTATGACGATGACGATGGTGATGACGATAATGATAATGATGCTGATGATGATGGTGATGATGATAATCATGTTGATGGTGTCGATGATAATGACGACGATGACTGTTGAAGATAATGACGACGATGACGACGATGTTGAGTATAAGGATGATACCGGAGAAAAAACCAATCAAGGCTATAGGGCTAAGGGGCTATAAGGCTACAGGCTATAGGGCTATAAGGTTATTGAGCTTCAGGGCTATAGAGCTATAGGGCTATAGAGTTGTAGGGCTGTAGGGCTATACGGCACCCCAGGGCACGCCCAGGCAACCGGGCACCCGGGCTCCGGGGCTCCCCCGGGCACCCGGGCGTGCAGCGAAAATCGGCGGCAAACCTAATCTAACCATATGCATCCGCTAGGACCCCTACAGAGGCAAGCTCTGATCGGGGAATTATGATGATGACGCACCCTCTTAAGGCGGATGTTCTGGGTACCTTGCCCTCCCAATACTCGACCAAAGACTCCTCGTCGTACACACGAAGGACCCAGACCCCCGACGTAATGATTTTTTCGTTACGTCGACACCCAAAAATCCCGACCCATTTCCCATGACCGGCTTTGCATCCTGAGCCGTTTTGTGACGCTCCCGAGGCCCGGTGAGGGCCCCCGGAGGCCGAAAATGAAGAAGAACCTTCCGTCATGATTGTTTCATTACTCGAGGGGGTCTGGGGATGTGGACACTGAGGATGAGGAATCCTCTCGAGTCCCGCTGGGCCACTGACAACCTCGCGAAGTGGGGCGCCAGAAGGGAGCGCCGCTCCACGGCGGCCGGACTCAACTCCCAAGCCAGCCACACGACTGCTCCTCCTCCGCCTCCTCCTCCTTTTCCTCCGCTTCCTCCTCCTCCTCCTCCTCCTCCTCACCCTCCTCCTCCTCCTCCTCCTCCTCCTCCTCCTCCTCCTTTTCCTCCTCCTCCTGCGGCGGTGGCCCCGGGGCTCCCGAGTCCGCGGGGAGCCCCGGGGCCTTTCGGCGAGCGCGGCACGCGCGGCCGCCGCGCCCCGCCGCGCGCCGCCGCGAGCCGCCGCAGCTGCCGCCCGCCGCCGGGCGAGGCGTCTGCGCCGCCAGGCGCCGTCGCGGCCGCCGCCGCCGCGCGGGGTCGCCGGGTGCCGCCGGCCGCGCGCCGCCGCCGGGCGCGCCGCCGCCGAGCCGCCGCCGCCGGGCGCCGTGCCGCGCGGCGCCGGGCGCCGCCGCGGGCCGCGGGCCAGGGGGTTGTGACGTAGGAGGTCTGAATCCTCCCCCACCTGGCCCAATGCGCGCCCGCGGCGGCCACGCCGCAGCGTCCGCGGCGCGGGGTGCAGCTCCAGCAGCCGCGGCGGCGCCAGGGGGCCGGGCCGCGGGTCGCGCCCGGTCAGCGGTCAGCAGCCAGGGCAGGCGCGCTTACGCGCGCCGCGCGCGCCGCGCTGGCGGCGCGCCGGGGTTCGCGGCAAGCGTCCGCCGCGCCGCGCCGCCCCGCGGCAGCACGGCAGTCCGCCAAGCTTCGGCGCTGCCCCGCTGCAGCGCGGCAGAAAGGCTTTGCCGCGCGGCCGCGAGGACTTGTGGGTCCCCGGCAGACCAAGTGCGCAGCAGGGCCTGCGCCTCCTTCCCAAGCCGGCCCAGCGTCTCGAGTGCGAAGGCGAGGAGCGCGGGCCCTGGGTAGCGCCGGTGTTTGCGCTCTTCGGCCGCTGCGGCCGCGGCGCCGTCCCTGGTCGCGCGGCTGCGGCCCGCGCCCGTGCCAGCCCCGAGCGCAGCGTCGGTGACCGTGACGTCGACGTACTGCCGCCCAGCGACAGGGTCATCGTAGGTCACGTCCAAGCGCGCGGCTTCCACGCTGCCGTCCGGGCGGGCGCGGTCCCAGGCGGGCACGGCCTGCTCGGTGTCCACGCCCGCGGCGCCCTGCTCAGCCAGCCAGCCGGCCAGCCAGTCGCGCCCGCCGTCGTGCTTCTCGATGGCCAGGCCGCCCGCGGGGCAGCCTACCGCGTGGCCGGGGTCCGCGCGCAGGTCGCAGCCGCAGACCGTGCCGTCGCTCCTCCGCCGCAGGCAGGTGGGGTTGGCTCCCTCGGGCAGTGGCAAGCGCAGCCGGAGGGCGAGCGCTGGTTGCAGGTGCTCGTCAGCCAGGAGGTGGTCTTGCCGCGTCGGGGGCAAGAGGAAGGCGCCCGCGCCTTTGCCGCCCGCGGAGCGGAGGCTGGCGGCTTCGCTCGCCGGCAAGGAGGCAGCAGGCGGGCGCGTCGCTGCTGCTGCGCCGGCTGAGTCAAACGCTTTCTGCGCCTTCTCCCGGCGCTCCTCCTCCTCCTCCTCCTCCTCCTCCTCCTCCTCCTCCGCCTCCTCCTCATCCTCCCCCTAAATGCGTGCGGGAGGTCCCCCGCCCCCGTTGGAGGAGGAAGAGGACGGAGGACAGTGTCCTGGAGAAGGAAAACACTGCACAAGCATAAACTCCGGAAGGTCTGAGCGGATTTCCCAGATCGGCGCTGGGACCCCTCCCCGGCGCGCGGAGCGCACCAGGGGCGGCGCCCGAGGCGCCTCCAGGGGGCCCCAACGCCGACCCAAGACTTGGTTTATGCTCATGCTGTTGTTTCGTCCTCGATGACTGGGGGAGGCCCGCTTTCACCGCGGCGCGCACGCGGGGGGCAATACTCAAAGACCATCCCTCGACGATCGTGGGGCCACTCTGCATCGCCGCGGCGACGCTGCAAATCCTCGACTCTCGCCAAGTCCATCCAGGCCTGACTTATCCGCCTTTGGCAGCACCGTCAGCATCTGGAGGTCGACCAGGGGGAAGGACGCTGAGGGGGAGGAGGAGGGGCAGGACGACCGCGAGTACGACTAATGAGGCAGAGCTACGTGCTCAGGAGGAGGAGGAGGAGGAGGAAGGAGATGAGGAGTACGACGACGATGGGGGCGCGGAGACGAATGCGAGGAGGTGTAAGGAAGGAATAGGCAGGAAGATGAAACGATGGAAGCTAGATATCGTCACTGGGTCCTAATGTAGGCGCGGAAAATGTAGAAGGCGCCGCACCTACCAGCTGAGAAGCAGCGCGTCTGTCTACAAGTCGTTGTGAAATTCGCATCACCGCATCAACAGGAACAACCCCATGCTATCCGCCAGCCCACGGTTGCCAGGGGGTGGACAGAATGTATGAGACATTTGGCTGCACCCCTGCACCCCTCCCCCTGATCCCCCCTCACGACATCACGTCGGAAGGGGGAGGGGGTAAACTGAACAACGCACCTCCCCGGCTCCCAGGCCTTGAAAAGCACACTCCGACGCCGCAAACATGCCCCATTTAGATGGAGTCTCCACCACGCCGACGAGCCCTGAAGCAAACCCAAGATGGCCACTAAAGCAGACCCTCGGCTCCCGAGACGCCCAGAGATGGCCTCAGGAGAACCCCCCAGAAGACTTCAAGGGGCACAAATCATTGATTTCCCGTAGGTAAATGGACAGCATTGTGGGTTATCGCCTTTTCGCTGCTCTGGCTTCTGAAAGCCCAAGACAGCCCAACCGGGTCCCCAGACCGACCGAGGATGCCCTCGAGAAAGCCTGGTCACAGCCCACGAGGGCACCTAGACGTCCCAAAAGACTCCCAAGGCGGCCCAAGACGACCGAAGAAGCCTGCTTCCAAGAGGGTCCAAGAGGATGCCGAACATTTCCATAGTTGCCCAACGAGGGCCCTACTACGGCTCCAGAGGCCCCGAGAAGGCTCCCAAATCTGCCCGACATGCCGAAGCGAACCCAGCGACGGCCACGAGGGCCTCCCGGGAGGCCCGAGAACCGGACAACGGGCGAAGGGCAGCGGCGCGCCGCGACCGCCCCAGGGAAGACCCCAAGACGCATCCCACCCCCCCCTCCCCCTGGCCCCTGTATGAGAAGACAACTGTGTAGACAGACGTGTCCCCAAGAGGCCCACCCAAAAACCCTCAATATTCCAACGAGAGAGGCCTCCGGGGCAAGAGACCCGGGCGCGACCACGACCTGCACGAAGCCGTCCCAACTCTGCTCGCCTTAGTGGTCGGAGGAATGGCGCAAGCCCCTTGAACAATCTGAGAAATGAGTACGAGGGAGCGCTCGATGAAGACTGAGCATCCTGAAATCTATGAATCCGTGGTGAGACTACAAGGTTGCACGCGACAGAAACAAAAATGAATAATCGGTCCCTGGGCGAAATTCTATTCAGATTCGCAACTGGCTTCATCCAGCCAAGTGCGCGCATGGCCACGTCTTCCACGAACAACTGCAACAAAGTTGGGCATTACTTGTGTTTGCCGGGTCTTCCTTGTCACGAAATCCGGGCGGATCAAGCTGATGCAGGTTGGCGTGCCCTTATGCTTGATGATCGGTCATAGTCTGCAACGCCGCAATTCCTCTGCATCTGCATCTCCTTGGATGAATTCGTCGGTTCCAGTGATAAAATCATCAGAGGCAGAGATAAGGTCGGGGTGGCTTGGATTATCGTCTGATGCATTGTCGGCCATAACCTCGAAATCGGTTCCACCAATTTTGGTATCTCGATATTCTGGTAGGTGGCTGTTGGAACTGGCTGGGATAGAATTGGATCCACGCTGCTTGGCCCTCCTGAGCGCATAACGGCGGACCACAAGCAAGACCACACTGCCAGACATTCCAACACAACACACCAGCACGATGGCGACAATTACAACTAGGCCGATCGACGCTTCAGAGTCGGTCGGGACAGACCGCGCAAGCAACGCTGAATCCACGTTCGCCTCGGAAGTGGTGGCCGTCAGCACAGCGAGGCGCTCTACCTAAAGGAACAACGAATCGAATGAGCATGACCATTAAGAGGTCCACGCGAACTTCTTCGATCGGCGCTGGAGGCACCGCCAGGGGGGACACGCGCAAATCCCAGAAATCCGCGCGGAACTCCAGAACCGTATGTTCATGTTATTTGTTCATCCTCGGCTACCGTCAGGTCGTAGCTAACGCCGTGAACGTCCAGGCTGGACGAGAGCGACTCCTTCGGCGGCGGGCGAGAAGGGGTACTGAGAAGGAGACAGCCTTCTCTAGACGAGCGCGTTCCACTACTCGCAAAGTGACTACTCGCAAATGGCCTGGAACCACCGTGCGGGATCTACGAAAATGGCATCAAGGAGGACAGGTTTCCTTCCAACGTTTGCGAGTAGGCACTTTGCGAGTAGTGGAACGCGCTCGGTGATTCTCAGACGGCGGCGGAACTTCTCAGGAACCTCCGCGCCTTCTTAGACATGAACTGCGTCTCCGGGGGGAAGCTCGAGAGACTTCTCGACGGCCGGGGCCTTCTGATAATGCCCGCTCCCCCGCACCTCCCCCCCGGGCTGGCCGCCGATCCTCCTCCCCCTCCTCCTTCTCCTCCTCCTCTTCCTCCTCCTCCTCCTCCTCCTCCTTCTCCTCCTCCTTCTCCTCCTTCTCCTCCTCCTCATCCGCCCCCTCCTCCTCCTCCTCCTCCTCCTCCTCCTCCTCCACAATTACTCAATATGAGTACTACTCTCCCTCTTCCCCTGATGACGGTTTGAAAGTGCTAGAACCCCCCAGCGTATTGGTTTTTACACACAGGTTTCCCCGGAGTTGGGTTTTCGCCTGCACTTTTTTCAAAATGCTGCTCTCGCTGAGGCGCCGGCCTCATTTTCGGGCCCCGCTCGTTCCGAATCGTGCTCCCGCTGCAACGCTGGCATCATTTCTGTGCTTCCGCTCGTTCCGAATCGTGCTCCCGCTGCAGCGCTGGCCTCATTTCCGCGCTTCCGCTCGTTTCGACTCGTGCTCCCGCTGCAGCGCTGGCGTCATTTCCCGTGCCATGCCACGGCATGCAATGCAATGCTAGGTTGATACTACGCTTTGCGGTGCTCTTCTACGCCATGCCATGCCGTGCTCTACAATGCATCGCGTACCCTTTCGGGATCATTGCCCTGCTCGACATCCGACTGTGCGAGTAGAGAGGGGATCTGCGCCATGGTAAGGGATGGGAGGGAGGGGTAGGATGTCAGATATGACGCGAGCGCACCTAGCTTGTCCTCTCTCCCCCTCCTCCTCCTCCTCCTCCTCCTCCTCCTCCTCTCCTCCTCCTCCTCCTCCTCCTCCTCCTCCTCCTCCTCCTCCTCCTCCTCCTCTTACGCCTCCTCCTCCTCCTCCTCCTCCTCCTCCTCCTCCTCCTCCTCCTAGGCTCCTGGCGCACACTCCAAGTCCCCGAGTCCGCACATGACGCGGAGGGACGGCGCGCGCGTGAAACTACACTGCACCCAGCCCATTGCCAAGCTCGTCTGGCCAGGTCTTCAGACCTGGGGGGAGGCGGCCATCCATGAGTTTGGACAGCACCTTCTTGCCCCAGTCTGCTGGGCGGTGGCAGGTGCCTTGCAACCCTGCGCTGATCTTCGCACTGCTGTAAGCCCCACACTTGCGACACCACCAGAGTTCACCAGTACAAGACACATCGTGGCTCTGATGGATCTGGTGCGGCCGACCTGGGCATTGCGAGGCAAGCCACTCCAGCGTCCCACACTCCTTGGTAGGACGCCCGCGGCAGACAATACACAATGTATACCCCCTCTTCTCGATCACGCTTGGTGTGGTCTCCTGCAGTGCTTGCTCAACGTTCGATTGACGCTGGGCCTGGGACGCTCGACTGCGGGCCACACGATCAGCTCTAGAGGTGGCCGAGTATAGGGATGGGGTCTGGATAGCCACTTACAGAGCGACTTCTGTCAGGCGCCTCTGCACGCGGACAACGTTATTATCTATGTCGATTACCTGCTGGATGATATGCTGTGGGAGCCTGGCCATGCGCGCCCCTTCACTGGCACACTCATCCGCGGCCTGGTTGGCGGTAAAATCTTCCCAGGTATTGTGGACCCCACATCCCCTTCTTCGAGGTGGGACTTGACCTTTTTTAATTGGCACGGCCCGGGATGGCCTTCATAGGCCTCCCAGAAATCGAGCCACGCAGCCGAATTCGCCTCGTGCTTCCATTGGGGGCCATGACGACCCCCCCCCCCCTCCTCCTCCTCCTCCTCCTCCTCCTCCTCCTCCTCCTCCTCCTCCTCCTCCGCCTCCTCCTCCTGCTCCTCCTCCTCCTCCCTTCTCCTCCTCCTCCCCTTTTCCTCCTCCTCCTCCTCCTCCTCCTCCTCCTCCTCCTCCTCCTCCTCCCTCCTCCTCCTCCTCCTCCTCCTCCTCCTCCTCATCCTCCTCCTCCTAGTCGTCGTCCTCCTCCTCCTCCTCCTCCTCCTCCTCCTCCTCCTCCTCCTCCTCTCCTCCTCCTCCTCCTCTTGCTCGCCGCCGACTCCTGCATGACAGAAGTGATGTTGTCGGCGGTCAGCACCGCGGCTATGTGCGAGCGGGACGTGCCCGAGGCACTGGACGGCCCTGCCAGAGGCCAGAGAACTGCACAGGCCGAGACGTCCTTGTTTCCCAACCATCCTGTGGTGTTGGGTCCTCGTTTTGAAGAGACAGCGCCCGCGTTACTCACTCCTCCTCCTCCTCCTCCTCCTCCTCCTCCTCCTCCTCCTCCTCCTCCTCCTCCTCCTCCTCCTCCTCCTCCTCCTCCTCCTCCTCCCCCTCTTCCCTCATCCCTCATCCCCCTCCTGCCCCTCTTTTTGTCCCTGTGTTTCGCCCACCCAGTACAGCGCGTCGTGGACCCATAGGGAGCTCCACCAAAGGCGCCAGTGCCACCGCCCGCATGCGTCACCCACACACATTTTGGCACACCCCTCACACGCTTCGTGGCCCCAAAGGGAGCTCCACCGAAGGCGCCAGTGCCACCGCCCGCAAGCGTCACCCACGCCCATTCCGGCGCATCCCTCACGCGCTTCGTGGCCCCATAGGGAGCTCCACCGAAGGCGCCAATGCCACCGCCCGCATGCGTCAATCTCACAAATTTCGGCACACCCGTCACACGTTTCGTGGCCCCATAGGGAGCTCCACCGAAGGCCACAGTGCCACCGCCCGCATGCGTCACCCGCACCCATTTCGGCACACCCCTCACACGTTTCGTGGCCCTATAGGGAGCTCCACCGAAGACCACAGTGCCACCGCCCGCATGCGTCACCCACACCCATGTCATCACACTCCTCACACGTTTCGTGGCCACATAGGGAGCTCGAGTGAAGGCCCCAATGCCACCGCCCGCATGCGTCAGCCACGCCAGTTCCGGCACACCCCTCACGCGTTTCGAGGCCCCATGGGGAGCTCCACCGAAGGCGCCAGTGGCTGAATTCGCACCCGCCCACCGCACCCATTTCGACACACCCCTTACACGTTTCGCGGCCCTATAAGGAGCTCCTACGAATGCGGTGCATACAGCGACGGTGCTCACAACTGCATAATTATGGTTGGGTCCTTCGCCAGGCTAATTTTGAGAGCGTGGCCCCCCAGAGGATTCAGTTCGGCTGCGAGCAAGGGGGGGAAATGAGAAGGAGAAGGCCTTCTCAGAAGGCGGCGGAACTTTTCAGAAGTCCTCGCGCCTGCTCAAACATTTTTTTCTCTGTCTCCGGGGAAGGCTCAGAAAACTTCTCAGAAGGCCGGGGGACTTCCGAACCTTCTGAGAAGGCCCTCTCCTTCTCGCTTCCCCCCCTCGCTCGCCGCCGATTCAGGAAAGGCCAAGTCCAGGCGAAGCTCGTCCGTACGGAGACCGAGCACTCCGTATTGACTGAGCCTCCGCCGGAGGATTGGGCCGCCTCTACGCGGCTGGCTCCTCATCCAGAGTAGGTTCTGAGAATGCCCTCGACGGTGCAGTAGGTTCTGAGATTGCCCTCGACGGAGGCGGAACGTTGGCAAGAACCTGCCGTCGTGATTGCCTCACGCCGAGCGGCTGTTCGGTCTTCGGGTTGTAACTCTGGTCTCCGGCGGCCGTTCGGGCCGATCCGCGCGGCGAGGCGCAGCTGCAGGGAAGCCCCAGGAAAGCTCTCGGCGAGGCGCAGCTGCGGGAAGAAGCAGCCCGCGGCTGGAAGACACCCAGGGGCCCACCGAAGCGCCCGAGAAGGAGACGCCAAGGATTCGGACAGGAAGTCAAGGCACGTGCATGTACTGAGGTCCGCGCAGTCTTTCCCACGTCGGCGCTGGACGCACCCCTCCCCAAGGAGCCCGCGCCGCGCGCCGAGGGCTGAGCAGGAGGAGCCGTCCGGGGGTGTGTGTCGGCGGTGGACAAACCTCCCTGTAGTAAACCTACCTGTAGTAAACCTGCCTGTAGTGAAGACAGCCCAGGACCGAAACCGACGGGACCTGGACCCGCAAAAAAGTGACGGCCGCGACGCCCTTCGCGCGAACCGAAAACGGCCAATTCGCTAATAGACAGACGCGTCAAGGCAGGAGGTCGATCAACCTCCGATGTGTGGATAGGGGGTCTGGCGCTGGCCCGGAAGATCCTCGCCCGCGAGGCGGGGGAGCATACAGTTGGGGCGTTGACCGACGGAACGATGAGTAAGGAACGAGGCCCCTTCTCTGCAAAAGTTCAGCGTCGATCCGCCATCGAAAACCGAAGGGAAAAACCTGCGGCGAACTGCAAAACCACGGAGGAGCACGGCGCCCCTCCCAAACGAAAAGGGCTCTCGGCAACTGGAACGTCTACATTACCGGTGGCGGGCTGCTTTTCACTCCTAGGAACGTTTTGAGGGTCCGGAGCGACGTCGCAGCGGAGTGGTGTATACTACGTCCCCCGCTCTCCGCGGAAACGACGGAACATGTACACACCCTGCGAAATGCTTTAGAAATCATGGGTTAAGAAATTCATAGTCTCAGAACTTGAATAAAAACCCAGCATTTCTTTTAACATCTTAGGATTCACATGGAAACATTAGGAATAATCGAGACTCTGGGCGAAAACGTAGGTTTTCTTAAACATCGCATAAGGTGTACACCAGGATCCCGTATACACCAGGACCCGCTTTCTTGTGCGCATTCCAGTGCGGGGCCGCAGAAAACGTCGGTGTATCGAGTCCGGTCCCTCGGGTTCCTCCAGCGCCTCGGCTGCGATCCGATGCCACCGCCGGGGTGGTCGACCTTCGGGGGGGCCTCGCCGGGCGGCGGGCGCGGACATGTTTTGTTTGGCCCCCCCCCCCAGGGCCCGAGTGCACCCGTATCTTTCGGTCGGGCGTGTTCTCTCCTCCTACAGGCTGCTTTCGGATGCACAGTTCAAAAGGCGCCCCAAACACCACCAAACAACATACTCAAACTTATCCTGGCGAGGGACCCAGCCATGTGCAGTTGGGGGTACCGCATTTGTGAATCTTTCCTTCGGCGAAGCTCCCTATGGGGCCACGAAGCGCTGCACTGGGTGGGGGGGGGCGCATAAGGGCGATAGCACTGGGGCCGTCGATGGAGCTCCTCATGGGTCCACGAAACGCTGTACTGGGTGGGTGACAAATGCCAAATTGGATGTGTGGGGCGCATGCGGGCGGTCCCACTGGGGGCTTCGGTGGAGCTCCCTATGGGGCCACGAAACGTTGTACTGGGTGGGCGAGAATGCCACATTGGGCTTTCGGGACGCATGCGGGCGGTCCCACTGGGGGCTTCGGGGGAGCTCCTCATGGGTCCACGAAGCGTTGTGCTGGGTGGGCGAAAATGCCAAAGTGGGCGTGTGGAGCGCATGCGGGCGGTCCCTCTGGGGGCTTCGGTGGAGCTCCTCATGGGTCCACGAAGAGTTGTGCTGGGTGGGTGAAAGTGCCAAATGGGGTGTTCGGGACGCGTGCCGACGGTGGCACTGGGGGCGTTGGTGGAGCTCCCTATGGGGCCACGAAGCGCTGTACTGGGTGGGCGAAGATGCTAAATTACAGATTTCGTTCACTGGGGCCTTCGGTGGAGCTCCTGTGGGGCCGCGAAACGCTGTGCTGGGTGGGTGGGGGGGACGCTGTACTGTGTGTGTGTGTGTGGGGGGGGGGGGGACGCATGCGGACGGTGGCACTGGGACCTTCAATGGGGCTCCCCATGGGGCTGCGAAACGCTGTACTGGCTGGGGGGAAGCATGAGGATGGTAGCACTGGGTCGTTCGGTGGGGCTCCCTATGGAGTCACGAAGCGCTGTACTGGGTGGGGGGGGGACGCTGTACTCTGTGTGTATGTGTGTATGTGTGTATGTGTGTATGTGTATGTGTGTATGTGTGTATGTGTGTGTGGTGTAGGGTGGGGGGGGGTGGGGGGGGGACGCATGCGGACGGTGGCACTGGGACCTTCGGTGGGGCTCCCTGAGGGGCCACGAAGCGCTATACTGGCTGGGGGGGACACACGCGGATGGTAGCGCTGGGACCTTCGGTGAGGCTCCCTATGCGGCCACGAAACGTGTGAGGGGCGTGCTTAAACGGGTGATGATGATGATGGTGATGGAGGAGGGAGGAGGAGGAAGAGGAGAAGGAGGAGGAGGAGGAGGAGAACGTGGGGACGGTCTCTTCGAAACGAGGACCCAACACCACAGGATGGCTGGGAAATAATACAAGAATCCTCCCCGTACTATTTTGATTAGTTTTCTCCTGAAGAGGGACGGGCCCGACTTGACCCCAGGGCCCGAAAGCACGCATATCCTCAGCCTGCAGCAGCCCCCGAGGCTCGATACCCAAGGCGATGGTGATCAGAGGAGCAACAGGTGCGCAAGCATACCCTCGACCAGGATAGTAAGGATGCGCGGTAAGGCTGCAAGGGCCTTGGAACGCCATGTTGACGTTTCCCGTGCGGGGCGCAGCAGAATGCCGAAGGATGCCAGATACCGAAGGGGCAAGGATGCAAGGGCAGCCTTGGAAAATTGCCCCATCCTTACTATCATGGTTGACTGTAATTCATCTACGGCTCCTGTCCGCGGCGTACCTTTTCCTGTGCAAGCTCTTCGGCGCCGCCTGCATCCCGGGCCCCGCCCTCTCCGGCCGCCTGAGGCCCCGCCCGCCTGTGCCCTGTCTCCCTAATTAGAGCTGTGCGTAGCCCGCCTAGCTTTTAGCGGAAGAGGTCCGCTCTCGCCCCGCCGACCAAAAATGTAATTCCTCCAAGTCCGCGCGGATCTCTTGGATCGGCGCTGGGCCCCTCCCTGGCGCGCTCCGGGGCGGCGCCGGAGGCACCGCCGGACAACCCATATGGATGCCGCTTCTGCTTCGGACGACGGATGCATTGCAAGAGCGGCGCCCGAGCACGGGGCCATGCCTGGACTTCCTTCGAGATCCACTCTGGCCCGGTGCGGTGCCTGCTTTCTGGCCTCGGGCGCCGAGCAAAAAAAAGCCATGCACTGCACCACCCCTAAGGGTCGAAGATCGGCGACCCCTCGGGAGACGCCGGCGCGATACGGGCCGCGCGGGTCGCCCGCAGAAGAAAAAACATCCCCGCCTCGGACCTCCAGGACGGCTCCGGCGGTGCAGCTTCTCTGTCTCGGGCCGGGCCCAAGGGGGGGACAGCAAAGGGGGGGCTTAAGAGAAGCAGCTCACGTATAGCTGATTTTCCCGGCGCCTCCCGGCGCCGGAGGCGGCCAGGTACCGAGAGATGGGCCCCTCGGTGAGGCCGAAACCAGATGCATGCAGCAGATTTCGTAACCCCCCCTTTCCAAAGGCTCCCAACTTCGCGCTTCGCGCTCCGCGAAGCGCGAAGCGCGAATAACTTCGCGCTCTCGCGCCGACCCCCCAAAGGGAGAAGAGGAGGACGAGGAGGAGGGGAGAAGGAATGAGGACCGCGAAGCGCGAAGCGCGAATAACTTCGCGTCCTCGTGGGAGCCCTTGCTTTCCCAATCCCCCCCTTTCGTTCGGCCCGACTGTCCCTCCGCCTGCGGGGGCCGTGATCTCGTAGCTGACCTCCACGGGGCCCGCCTCCGCCGCGAGCCCCCTGCCCGCGGGCACGGCCAGCCGCCGGTCAGCGCTCAGCGCCACGGACACCTGGCGGCCAAGAGTGCGACAGGTCCCGAGGGAAGCGGGTCCTGGATACGGTTGCGGATGCCACGACACTGGACCCAGACCCCCTCGAGTAATGAAAAAATCATGACAGGAGGTTTTTCCTAATTTTCGGCCTCCAAGGGCCCTCACCGGCCCTCGGGGGCGTCAAAAACCGACTCGGGATGCAAAGCCGGTCCCGGGGAATGGGTCCAGATCTCTGGGGGTCGACGTCATGAAAAAATCATGACGTCGGGGGTCTGGGGACACCCTAACCTAACGGACGAAGAACGGTATAACATAACCTTTTTCGCCGTCGGGGACACCTGCCCCTGGGCGGCTGGAATGTTTATACCCTTACGGTGGCACCGTAGGGGTATAAACTTTCCAGCCGCCCAGGGGCAAGTGTCCCCGACGGCGAACAAGTTTTATGCTATACCGTTCTTCGCTCGCTGACTAACGGTCTTACCCTAACAGTCTTATCATCGAAATAAAGATGTGTTTCAAATGTGTAAAAAGCATGTCCTAGACGTGTTTCAAACATTTTTTTGTGAGGGCATGCTTCAAAACACTGTTGAAACCTCTTTTAGACATCTGAAGAATGATTTGGCAGCATGCTTCCTCTCCATTGGTCGACTTCCACAAGGATGCGGCCATCGATTTTTCTTCTTCTGGCCGCGGCGCGCGCCGGCCAAGAATCATGCGAGCATACCGCGCGTGAACCATGCCCTGCCTGGCCTTCCGTCAGGCCCCGCTCCAACGTGGCACTGTGAATAGCTTCTCGGACATAGGGGCCGAGCAGCCCTGCACCGTACCACTCCCGGGGGCGAAGATCGACGACGCCTCGGGAGACGCCACCGCGGCCGATGCGGCTCGGTGCGCACAAGCCGGCCGCGGGGAAGGGGCTACCAGAAGGAGCGCTGTCGAAGGGGCGAGAAGGCGGTTCTGGCCACGGCGGGCGTCTGCCACGAACAGGTCGCCTGACCTAGATCTGAGGAGAGAGCCGGAAGCTCGAGACCCTGCGCAGCCCGACGTGGCCCTTCTTTAAACGTTTACATCGGGCATGTCCCCCCACAGGGGGATTCTGGACGAAAGATTAAGATACTCCAACTCATTTTCAATACTAAGAGAATCGTCCCCAGACTATTGTTTTACTATTGTTGAATATTCCTCCTGTAGAGGGACAGGGCCGACTTAATCCTAAAGGCCCCTTCAGCTCATGGCGAGCCTGGTGGTTCTGCACCCTCACCGCGTTGGCGATGCCCTCTGACACTGCTGCTATGATCCTCGTGTCGCCGACGAAAGCCGTAGGGTCGGAGACGATGAGCGTCATGGTTCCGCTGATCGTGCTGACAAGCGGATCCTCTGTGAAGGTCGTAGATGTGGTGATGGTGGCCTGAGGGGGGCGCAAGAGGGGTACTGGCTCAGGTAAGAGGCGGACAAAAACCACCCTGACTCTTAAACGGGAGCCTAGCTATACTGAAATGCTACTTGGGGGCTCGGCAGAGATAGTAAGCACCAGCGAACGACCAGCCTGACCACCGAGCTTCCCTAATTTCGCATCGCGCCCCCGCAATTTCGCACTGCCGAGTCGCGGAACTCCCAAGCACTGCCCCAGACGACGCCGAGCGCTGCACCAGAAAACATGATCGTATACCACACGCTCTGGCATCGGCTCACGTCTAAACTTGCGAGCGCACGTGCATCACCTGTATATGCGTGCACCCTCCCCAGCACATCGGGAGCGGCCAAGAGGGGGGTGTCCAAGACGGGGGGGTGCAAATCATGACCGGCGGCATGTGCGCGGCCCAGCGGGGGGGCCAGGGACGTAACGAAACAAGAAGAGGCGCCATGAGATCTGGGGAAATATCATGGCCCCCGCCATGATGTCCACATCCCCCCTAGTCGTCACCCCCCCTCTTTTCCGCCCCCGACAGCACCGTGCCTGCACCGCAGGGCCTCTTGCTCCTCTCGCCGGGATCATGGCAGAGGTCGGGCTGCAGAGCTTCGACGGGTGGCCGGCTGGTGCCCGGCGGTGCGCGCCCGGCGGGCGCCCCTTGCGCCCGGGTGGGTGGGGAATCCTGCTCTGCTTGGTGATCGGCTGGTGGGATGGGGCTCTGCTCTGGCCATCGCTCGGACGTCCATTCCCTGTGTTTTTCTCGGTTTCGTGCGTGGCTTTTTCGCCAAATGATCAAGGATGCTCCTCGATGGTTCTCGCCGATCCGAGCGATGCCAGGTGCTTGGTGATCGGCTGGTGGGATGGGGCTCTACTTGGTGATCCGACGTCGTGATACTTGTAGGGGGCCACAGGCGAACCCTACCCCTACCCCCCACGATTTCTGAGGATGAGGGTGGGGTTCACTTCGCTCGGGAGCTCCCGAACGAAGCGAACCCCACCCTCACCCTCAGAAATCGTGGGGGGTAGGGGTAGGGTTCGCCTGTGGCCCCCTAATTTTTTCCAGTGCGGCGCCCCCAGAAGTCCGGACCCTCTCCCTGGGGAGGGTTCCTCCTCCCGAGTCGCTTTTGGACGGTCCCAGGGCCCAGCGAGGGCCCCCAGGCACCGACTTTTGCGAAAAAACGCCTTCTTGATCGATTCAAGACGCCAGGGCGCCTCGTCTGCCATGAGTCCTCCCGTCGGTCCTCCTCCTCCTCCTCCTCCTCCTCCTCCTCCTCCTCCTCCTCCTCCTCCTCCTCCTCCTCCTCCTCCTCCTCCTCCCCCTCCTCCCCCTCCTCCCCCTCCTCCTCCTCCTCCTCCCCCTCCTCCGCCCGGTGCCCGGGCTGGTGGCTGCCCGTGGGCGCCGCGTGAGCGCCCCTCGCGCTAGGGCGGATTCTGCACGGCGGGCAGGGCGCATCGCAGAGCTGCCAACGCACAGCTTGCCACACTGAGGGGGCCCTGGGACACGCATATATCGGGGAGACGTAAGACCCGGGTACGGGGGACTCGGAAATCCCCGACGAGGTCGTCAAAAAAATGACGAGGCCGAGCCTGCATTTTGACGAGGCCTCCCGCTGCAGACATCCCACAAAACTCCTCCTCGTCAAAATCCGAGTCGCGGTCGTCAAAAAACGATGGCGAACCCGAGTCCCGGCAAACCCGGGTCTTACGCTCCCCCGAATATAAGCAGACACAGATCACGGGATGCCCCATCATGTCCAATGTCTTCTGGGCCTCTGTCTCCCCCCCCCCACTTCCCATGTGTTCCCATCTCTTCCTGGGGATCGACGATCAGATGTGTCTGTGTGTGTGTTGTTTCCCCTGCTGGCACATGTAACGCGCCACACAATGTCAATCAGATTGGTTGCAGCGCACAGCTCGCACCGCGCAGTTAGCACAGCCTGGATGGCACCACACAGTCTGCACAACATATCTTTTACTTCAGAACTTGCAGCACGGTGCACAATGCACAGAACGCACGGCATAGCTTACAACCAGGGGCTACTGGTTGCGGCCCACGCTGGTTAACGTGCCATCCATCTGCACATACATACACATACATGCTATCGGATGCACTTCTGCGAGGGGGAGGCGATGATTTGTGAAGCCGTCCCGTCCACGATGCTTCTGGACGTGTCGCTCGTGAGATCCTCCAACGTTTGTACATTGGACGCAAGCCTCACGAAAACCGTGACATCAAAGTAAACACATGCACACATACAAGGGATGTTTCATCATGCTCCCATACCACTTTCAAAAACACTATGTGTCAATGGTATTGCACATACCTGGTAGAAACATGTTGCGTGTATCAATCGTTGCACGTGTACGCTCATTGCTTTTTACAAGAGCCTGGGAACGCACGCAACAACACTCAGAAATACATTCCCGCTTTTGAACCGACGATCGGCCTTGTCCGCGCGTGCGATAGTACAGTGTGCGCACGAATCGGGTGAAACACAACACGCGTTTGGTACGAAGGAATGTTTCCGGTATTCTGGCGCACACTTTTGGCAATCTCCTAAGTGTGTCTTGGAACTGTACCAAGTTGCTTGGCACTCCGTTGTTTGGCACCGCGATGCGGCGAGGGGCAGCTGACACAGCAGCTGCTGAACGACGAGGTGCATGGTATGGCTTGGTCGTGCTTGCAGGCAGCAACGGGGAATGCCAGCTCCCCCTCTGATCAAAAGGTGGGAGCATCGCCTTGCGGACGTTTTCTTATTCAGCGTTTCGACATCTGGCGGAAGGGGGAAGAAATGGGGGGGCTCTTGCTCCAGACCTCTGCTTGATGCGACTGTTTGCAACAGTGCGTCCTATCGTGGAGACTGCACCTGCTTTAAACAGGCACCCCTAACAGCCAAGATCTACTCCAGGGGGGGCGGTGAGGGGGTGCGAGGGCCCGCGCCGATCGGCAAAACATCAACGAAGAATACGATCACCTAGGCGGCGTGGGGCGCATGTGCCTGCCCCGATCGGCGACAGCAATGGGGGGTCGGTGCCCCCGCCGCCCCTTTGAGCCGATCCCCCTTTTCCACGCCCCCGTTGGCCAGGGTGGTGATGGTGCTCGCAGTCGTCCCGGCGTCGGGAGTTTTCGACGGACTCGTCGACGTAGGGGCGACGGCGGGTGGCTCTGCAAGAGTGCTCGAGGCCGTGCGTGTGGTGTCCGAAGTCGACGGCGTGCTGGAGCTTGCAGTCGTGAGCGTCGGCGTGCCAACTGCGGCGTTGGACGCCGTGGCGCTCGTGATTGTCGGGGTGCTGGTCGACGTGCTGTTGCCTGTGGTCAAAGAGCAGACGTACACGGACCCAGCGTCGTAGCCGCGGTCGTCGTCCAAGGCGGCCCCCACGGCCACGCGGCTCCCGTCGGAGCTCAGGGAGACGGAGAAGCCGAACTGGTCCCCGGCGGCCCCGTCGTCTGCCACGAGCTTGTGCAGCTGCGAGCCGGTGTTCCCATCGAAGACGTACGCGGAACCAGAGACGGAGCCTCTAAAGGGAAATTAGGACACACAAATAAATACACACAAATAAAAATAGTCCCCATATTTTCCCATATTTTCTGGGTTTTTGTCTTCCCCCCCAATTCCCATATTTTCCCATATTTTCCTGGGAATCGAGGATGAATTGTGTCTGTGTGCTTTTTTTCCTCCTGAGCCTCTGGCATCGTCTTTCAGGGCCCCTACCGCCACCCGGCTGCCGTCAGAGCTGACGGACACCGAGAAGCCGAAGTAGTCGTCGGCGGCCCCGTCGTCCGCCAAGAGCTTGTACATCTGCACCCCGCTGTTCCCATCGAAGACGTACGCGGACCCAGAGCGAGAACCGCTGACATCATCTTGGTATGCCCCTACCACCACTCGGCTCGCGTCAGAACTCACGGACACCGAGCAGCCGAAGTAGTGACCATTGACTTCGTCGTCCGCCAAGAGCTTGAACAGCTGCATCCCAGTGAGCCCATTGAAGACGTAAGCAGACCCGGAATCGGTTTTGCAGGCTCCCACTACCACCAGGCCCCCGTCAGAGCTCATGGACACTGACCTGCCGAAGCCGTCGTCATCGGCCCCGTCGTCCGCCAGGAGCTTGACAAGCTGCACCCCCGTGGACCCGTCGAAGACGTAAGCGGAACCCGAGTCGGTGCCGCTGTCGTCGTCCAGGTAAGCCCCCACCAACACATGGCTCCCGTCAGAGGTCATAGATACAGATATTCCGAACATATCGAAGTCGGTCCCATCGTCCGCCACCAGCTGGTGCACCTGCGCCCCAGTTGCCCCGTCGAAGATGTACACAGACCCGCTGTTCGGGGCCCCCACCGCCACGAAGCTCCCGTCGGAGCTCACGCACACCGACCTGCCGAACTCGCCGTCGGCGGCCCCGTCGCCCGCCAGCAGCTTGTGCAGCTGCACCCCGGTGTACCCGTCGAAGACATATGCGGAGCCCGAGTCGGTGCCGCTGTCGTCGTCCAACCAGGCTCCCGCCACCACCAGGGATCCGCTGGAGCTCACAGACACCGACCTCCCGAGGTGGTCCCCTGTGGCCCCGTCCGCCGCCAGGAGGAGACTCCACAGGGGCGACGCCCTCGGGGTGCGTGTGGTCGTGGCCGTCAGCGTGGTGCCGGTGCGAGCCGAGGTGCTTGAGATGGTGCTCGAGTCTGACATCCCCATCGATGTCGAGGTGAGCCCGTATCCATCTCCATTCCCATCAGATCGCCCGTATCCTTCTCCATTCCCATCAGATCGCCCCCACCGGTGCTCCTGCAGGCTGCGACGAGTGGGCGCCAGCACTGCCACTCGGAGTAGCTGGGCCATGAAATCGAGGCATTCCTGGAAGTGAGCAGCGCCATGCAGGAAGACGGGTCGGGTCCCGTACTCGAGGTGCTCCAGCCCGGTCGTGGGAGAGGCCTGCACATAGGGGCAGCCACCATCCTCCATGGCGATCCAGTAGCGCGAGCTGCCGAAGAGCGTCTGGTTGTAATCCAATACCTTAGTGGGCCCTGGAAACGACAGGGCTACCGGTTCCGTTTTGCCGTTGTTCTACCGGTTCCGACGCCGTTTTTCTGCCGGTTCCGTCGCCGTTCTTTTTTTGCGGGTTCCCGCTCCGGTTCCATTCCTGGAGCCCTTTTTGGTGCCGTTTCCGGTCGCCGTTTCTTTTTCCCGTTTCCATGTTCAAGGGGCACTTTTTCGGAAACGGTGAAAAAACGGCCCTGCCGTTTCCGGGGCCCGCTAAGTCCAATACTATCATGTCGGGCGTGCGGTAGAGGAGATCCTGAAGGGGAACTGGGACACACTAATAAATAGACACAAATAAAAATATCCCCCATATTTTCTCATATTTTCTGGGTTTTTGTCTTCCCCCCCACTTGCCATATTTTCCCATATTTTCTGGGAATCGCAGATTAATTGTGTCTGTGTGCTTTTTCCCCTCCGGAGGTCCGACAGCACGGCCTGGTCGTCCTCCTCCACCGTGATGTTCATGCGGTGGACCAAGCGGGCCAGGTCCGCCGCCCTGCCGGCCACGAGCCCCGCATTCAGGAAGACCTCTGGAAGAGAAGGGAGAGCGACACTGAAGGGGCCCTGCGACACACAAACAAAGACACACCAATAAACCTCTTCCCCATATTTTCCCATGGTTTCTGTGTTCTTGTCTTCCCCCCCACTGCCCATCTTTTCCCATATCTTCCTGGGAGGCGTCGATTCATTGTGTCTGTGCGTACCTTTCCCTCCTGAACCGCAGACATCCGCCTTCGGAGCTCCGCGCGGATCTCTTGGCTGGGCTTTGGGTGGGCCTCCCTGGCGCACGGAGCGCGCCACGGGCGGCGCCGGAGGGCGGCGCCAGAGATCCGCGAGGAGCGCCAAGAGATTCCCAGACATCCGACGTCATGCTGTTCTCAGATCGTCATGAAGAGCCCTGCCTCACAGCGCCTTCCGACCTGGCAAATGGCACGCGAATGATCGCCACATTTGGCACCAATGATCTTTGCAATCGCGCCAACGCGCAAGAAAGATGAGAAGCAAACCCTTCGAAGCTCACTACTGGGCCATAAGTGTTGTGAAAGTCAACAGCATGTCATTAGTGGGCCGTTCGGTGGTCATTAGTGGGTCAATTTCGCTAGTGGGCCGCTGGCGGGCAAAATTCATTCGTGGGCCACTAGCGGAGCCATTAGTGGGTCACTAGCGTGGCATTGGCGGGCCATTGGTGGGGCATGTGTGGGGCATGCCAGTAGCAGCTGTGAAAGAACGCCCTTCCTGAAAACAAGGGGCCCATGGAAGTCCCGAACATTTCCCCGGAACCGGCTTATCTTCCTGGGTCGCGTTGTTTTGACAGTCCCTGGGGCCCGGCGAGGGCCTCCAGAGGCCGAGAACTACGAGAACCCTGCGGTGCGTTTCGTCCTGCGTCTGGGCTTTGACGGCCCACCGGCCCGGCGGAGGCCCCCAGAAGTCAAGCACGCCGAAAGATCTTCATCCAGATGCTCATCCACAACGCGATGACGACGACGACGATGACGATGACGATCGTCATCGTCAGCGTCGTCGTCATCGTCATCATCGATGTCATCTTGATCGTCATCGTCATCGTCGCACGTCCGTGCCGTTCTGTTGTTCCCCGAGCCTCTCCGCCGCCAGCGCCCCGCTCCGCCGCCAGCGCGCCCATGAACCTGTCTCGATGGGCCTGTCTTCCACCACCGCCACCACCGTAAGTTGGAAGGGGGAAGGAGGAGAAAGAGGAGGAGGAGGATGAGGAAGAGGAGGACCCCCTCCCCCCCTACTTCTGGTGGTCGGTGGAAAACAAGCCCACCATCTCTGCTGCATCTTCGGGGGACCGCGTCTGTCCCATCGCGCAGGCTATCCGTCTGAGCCTGCGCCGAACCCATGTCGACCGCGTCGAATCCGCGTCGAACTCACGATGACTCCGCCTCGGCCCCACGACGGAGAACACGAAACTACTGCTATTCAGGGCGCGAGCAAGGCGACGCTCTAGTTTTGAACGCCGCTTGCGTCTCAAACTATGCAGAATACGGGAGCGGCGCCATCCCCCAGACACACCGTTCCTTCCAAGCCGTCGCGAGGATGAAGATGCAACGCCCAGTCGCGCCCGATATCGCCAGGGGATAGAACACCTAAACTGTTTACCTCGCAGAGCGGCAGACGCAATCCGCACGCGCGTCTCCAGATGCCCCCTAGATGGGGTCGGAGAGGATGGGGTCGAGGGATCGCGCCGCCTCGCCGATGCATCGCCGACGCATCGGTGATGCATTGGCGATGCATCGGCGACGTCGACGATGCATCGGAGACGTCGACGTGAAGCAAATCGGGCCCTACATCGAGCCGCATCGGCGATGCCTCGGCGATGCGGCGCGATCCTCTGACCCCATCTGCGCCGACCCCATCTGGGAGGCCTACAGTCAATACGCTGTCACAAGGAACCCTAAATAAGGAACGAGGCCCCTTTTTCTCATAATTTGAACTTCAATCTCCCAAAGAAAACCTACGGAACACGTAAGAACAAACCTAAGACGATTAAGGAACACTGAGCCCCTCCCCAACGAAAAGGGTTCCTTCTTTCGGCTACACGCAAGAGTGACCCTGGGTAAGAGTGACCTTTGGTGCGCGGCTTTTGGGGGGCCGCGTGGGGACCAGACTTGGGCGCGCAAGCCGTTGCTCCTGCTTCGTTCTCTGCCATCTGGGGACCCATCTGTGCCCGCGCCAAAGGTCACTCCGGCGAAAGGTCACTCTTACGTCTATAAAACAAGGCTAGGATCAGGATAAATCGCTCCAGAGCGTTCCCGAGCGCTCTCAGAGCGTTCCAGAACGCTCTGGAGCGGCCGCGGAGCCCAATACATCCTCCAAACCCGCCGATTCTCAAAGATTTCGAGTTATCCCGATCCGATTTTGTCCCGATCTTCGCGTCGTCTTAGTCTAGTCGATTCTTCTGCGGTCTCGGCGAGACCGGGGCACGGAGCCGCGAAATGGCCCCCCCGCATGCAGGGGGAAGGCAGGGACGACGCGAGGGAGGCGGCCGCGGGGGAGGGGGTAGCCTTAAGTGAAGGGGCCCCAGGACACACAAATAAACATATTCCCCATATTTTCCTATATTTTCTGGGTTTCTGTCTTCCCCCCCACTTCCGATATTTTCCCATATTTTCTGAGGAATCGAGGATTAATTGTTTCTGTGTGTTTTTTCCTCTCCTGATTAAGTCGGGCCTCTCCCTCCACAGGGGGGGCTGTCCAAAAACAGCTGAAACATGGTCTGGGGGCTATTTTTGTTCAATAGCTTCTCTGGCCAGTCTGACATATCATTTCTGGAGGATTTTAAATTTTCCGTCAAGAATCCCCCTGTAGGGGGGCACGCCGGACTTATCGCGGGCGATGTTTCTCCCCCAATCCCCGAGTTTCGCTCGAAAAGTCTGGCCGCTCAGAAGAATGGGAAAACCCTGGGATACACCCCAAGGGGGCTATTCGGACGCACCCCTATCGAGAATGGACACCCCCCCATCGTATATCCCAGGGTTAGGCCCCAAATTTCTGGTCCATTCGGAAACCCCACGAAGCCTGGGATAGGGGTCGACATATCCCCTGTTAACTTAAGGGCAGCCAGGCGCGAGGGCACTCCCACGCAGCGGGGCTGCGGCGGGAGCGCGGGGGCGGCCGGGCTGAAGGGCGGCCCCTGGCAGCGGAGGTGCCGATGTTTTGTTCTCGGCGCGCGGCCGCCGGAAGGCCCCAAGAAGGACGTCTTACGTTTGGGCGTGGCTTCATGGGGGGGTCACAAATAGGGGGGGTCAGAAAAGGTCCCCTTTCGTGCCCCTTTCGGGCCCCTCTGGAGTCCCAGGGGGCTCGTTTAGGTACCGTTTGGGTACCTTTTCGGACCACCCGCGACACCCCCCCATTTATGACCCTCCATTACGCAACGCCCAATACGTGGACGGTCCCACAGTTCCGGCGAGGGCCCACGGATGCCTGGAGCTGGCGTTGGATCGCGGGGCAATCGCCAGGAGGCGGAGCGAAGCGACCGCGGGGCCTCCCGAAGATGCAGCGTCAGAGAGTGGAGGCGCGCACCACGGGGGTGGGGGGAGGGGGGAAGGCCGCTTAGGAGACTGCTTCGTGGAGGGCGCTGGCCCTGCAGCTACAGATCAGGCCCGCGCCTCCTAGAAGCAGGGGTGCTTCTAAGAAGGCTTCCCCCCTCCCCCTACCCACCTCTGCGCGTGGCCGAGTAGAAGAACCGGCTTCGAGGCCCCCCTAAGAATTCATATTTCGGGGAGACGTAAGACTCGGGTACGGGGGACTCGGGTTGGCCTGACGTGGCCATCACAAAAATGACGAGGCCCAATCTGAAATTTGACGCGAGCTCCCGCTGCAAACATCCCACGAAAACTGGACCGTCAAAATCCAGGGCACGCTCGTCAAAAAACGTCGGCAAACCCGAGTTCCGGCTTACTCGAGTCTTACGCTTCCCCGAATATTGGACGTGGGCGAGAGTCCAGCGCTAACTCCAAGGCAGTTGCACAGCGACGAAGGGGACCGACGACCGAAACCGAAACGCAGCGGGGTCCAGAGCAGACACGAGCGGCGGATGGACCGACCGAACAAAACTGAGGCCCGAAAACCACGCAGGGACCTTTTCAGCCAAATTCGACGGTAAGGACTGGCGGTAAGGACGCAAAGGCATTGGACGCCGAAGTTGCGGACTGCCAACTCCTTGGAGGGCTGGCCAGGGAAAACCGCGAAGGACGGGCCGCAGAGGCAAGGACGCAATGGCACCCTGACGACATCCATGCGTCCTTACTGTGATTTTCGACTGCCACATGATAGAGGACTCCCAGATGGGGTCCAAGTAGATGGGGTCGGAGGATCGCGCCAGATCTCCGATGCAACGGCGATGCATTGTTACGTCGGCGATGCATCGGCGACGTCGACGTGAAGCAAATCGGAATCCACATCGAGCCGCATCGGCGATGCATCGGTGATGCGGCGCGACCCTCCGACCCCATCTACTCCGACCCCATCTAGGAGGCCTAGACCTCAGGACACCCGTGCGCCCTCGCTGTGAGTTTTGGCCGTCACGTGAACAGGCTGCTTACAACTCGAGGTACCCAGACCCCCGACGTCATGATTTTTTCGGGTCGGGCGAAAGGGGGGAATAGCAAAGGGGGGGTTTGAGAATCAGCTCACGTAGCTGATTTTCCCGGCGCCTCCCGGCGCCGGAGGCGGCTATGTATCGAGGAATGGGCCCCTCGGTGAGGCCGAAGCCAGCTGCATGCAGCAAATTTCGTACCCCCCCTTTCCCAATCCCCCCCTTTCGCCCGGCCTGATTTTTTCACAGCGTCGACCCCCCGAGGTCTCGACCCCTTCCCCGGGGCCACTCTCTCCTCCCGGCAACGTTTTGTTGACGGCTCCGAGGCCCAGTGAGGGCGCCCCGAGGCCGAACATAGAAAACATTCGTCACGAGTTGTTTGAAGGGGCCCCAGGACACACAAACAAATACACACAAATAAAAATATTCCCAATATTTTCCCATATTTTCTGGGTTTCTGTCTTCCCCCCCACTTCCCATATTTTCCCATATTTTCTTGGGAATCGAGGATTAATTGTGTCTGTGTGTTTTTTCCTCTCCTGATTGTTCATGACCCGAGGGGGTCTGGGTACAACTCAGGGCAGTGCCCCCCCGAAGCAGCGGTCGAACGTCCGCCGATTTGAGTCGACCTTGAGAAGACCCTGAGGCAAACCCGAATCGAACCTGCGCCGAGCCCGAGTCGAACGTGAGTCGAACTCGGGTCGAGCTGGAAGCGAACAGATCCGTGTGGTGGGCCCCAGGAAGGTCCCCGAAACGAGCGTCTAACTCAAGGGTAGTCCCCCCGAACCCTGACCTTCCAGAGAGCTAATTTCTAGCACTGGATGCCTAAAAACCTAAAACAAAATAACGAAACAGCCTAAAACCAAGACGTAGAATAGCTCTGGGATAGGTTTTTGGGTCGGGTGCTATTTTTTAGCCCTCCTGGAAGGTCAGGGACGCAGCGGTCTCGAGGCCGTCCGGGGGGCCTCTCCCACGGGCGCGTCCCGCTGCGCACCCACGGGCAGCCCGGCCGCCCGGAGCTGCAGGCCCGCGCCGCGCGGCTGCCGCCCGGGGCGAAGAAGCCGCCCGGCTGGACGCTCGTGAGGGCGGCGACGCAGCACCTCTACTGATCTGTCTGATTACACCCTGCGAAATGCATCAGAAATCATGGGTTAAGAAACGCAGAGTCTCAGAATTGGAATAAAAACGCAGAATGTCCATTGACATCTTAGGAGCTACATTGAAACGTTAAGAATAATCGAGACTCTGGCCGATAACTGAAGTTTTCTCAAGCATCGCCTAAGGTGTATGTTGTGTTGCTCGTTGTTGCTTGCTCGTCGGAGCAGAAGAGAGAACGCCATAACACACCAACTTTTGGCGCTCCGCGCGGAGTGCTTGGATCTACGCTGGACCTCCCTGGCGCGTGGAGCGCGCCAGGGGCTGCGCCGGAGGCGCCACCGCGGGGGCCAAGCGCGGACCCAAGAAATCCGCGGGGAGCCCAGTCCCCCTCGCGCGCGTTGTGACAAAAATAGCGGCGGTAGGTTTTTGATTATTTTCGGCCCGTCGGGGGCCCCCCGCGGGACTGTCAAAAAACGACCTGGGGACGAGACCTCTAGGGAGAAAAAAATCATGAGAGGACGGCGACGCAGCACCTCTACTGATCTGTCTGATTCTATTTTGTGAGCGTTCTATTTGTCGGCTTTCTTTAAGGGCAGAGGGGGGGGCACGGGGCCAGGCTCCAGGCATCTGATTAGTGCGACTGTTTGGAACCGTGCGTCCTATGGGGGAGACTCCACCTGCTCGAAACAGGCACCAAAAACAGCCAAGATCTACTCAATGGGGGGGAGGGGGGCTGCGAGGGCCCGCACCGATCGGCAAAACAATGAATAAGAAACGACGACTTTGTTGTTCGTTGTTTGCTTGATGATGTATTACTTCCGCACCTCTACTGGGATCGGCGCGGGGGTGCCGAGGGGATTGGGGGGTCTACCATTGTAGGGAAAGGTTGGGCTTAGCCTCTCGCTTATAAGTGAGCTACCGTGCCCAAAGTGGCCTTGAGGGATGGATTACATTTCTAAATCGGCGGAGTCCACTTAGCCCGGATCGTTAACCCCACCAGACCACTCAGGGCACGTGAAACCCACAGGGATAAACCCAGACATGCTCGCGTAGTGACAAAAAACAAGACTGGAAGTGGTTGGCCGTGTTCGGCCTCCGGGGGCCCTCACCGGTCCCCGAGGCCGTCAAAAAACGAATCAGGACGAAAAAAAACCGCTCCAGGGAAAGGGTCGGGACATCTGGGGGCACCGCGTTGAAAACATCAGAGCATTGCATGTTTGGGAATCGGGGATCTCTGGGATCCACGGTTCCAGAGGATCTCTGTCGGGCGCCGCGGCCTTCTCGGCGCGTTCCGGAACGCTCTGAGAGCGTTCCGAACGCTCTGGAACGGACTTGTCCCGCGGAGGCAATTCCTGAGTGGGAAGTCTCCGTCAGAGCGAGTGTTTTTTTTCCTCTGCGAGCCAGTGGGCAGGACCGAGGGCGGCGACAGTTCGCCGACACGCGCACGATACGTGCGCCAGACGAGGCGTCAGAGCGAGTGAGGATCATTGAGCCCGATGGAGATTTTTGATTGGCCGGATTCGGCCAGAGTATGCCCAATATTAAACCCGGAATGCAGCCAGGCGAAACGGGATCGAGCCAGAGCAGGCGGGATAAAGCCAAATTGAGCAGGACTGAGCCAGACTGGTCCGGATTTCAACCAGGGATATACTAGCGCCGATTCTGAATTTAGTCTCCCAGGGGTTGCATCCTAGAGCACCTGCCCTCCGCGCCCGCAACCACCGCGCCCGGCGGGGCCCCCGCGACCAGCTTCTCGAAGGCAGCCACCAGCCGACCAGCAGCGGGTGCCGAGCCCGCGTTCAGCAGCACGTCCCGCGAGTCGGACACGACGACCACGGTGGATGGCGGTATCCTGTCGAGCACGTGCTGCAGGGCGTGCCACTTGTGCCCCCAGCCGAGGTAAGGCTCGTCGGCACCAATGATGCGGAAGGGCACTCCGTCCTCCTCCAGCTGTGAGACGTACGACTGCGCGTGTCCCAAGTTCGCCGCCCGCGTGATGGCTTCTGTCTCGAAGACCAGCACTATTGCCTCCAGCGGCGGACGTGATGTAAAAGCACCAGGACCTGCATTGAAGGGACTCCCAACGCCTGCTCCAGTAGAGTGACCTGTGTCGGTGGCAGGCTCCTCCAGAACAGGCCTGCTTCTGGCCCGCCGCGGCACGCTATCGCTGTCAAGAGCCTGCTTCGCGTCCGTACCACCCCCGCATGCGCAACACATGTCCCTGGCCGTGAAGTCGCTGGCGTCATAATCCGCAACCGTGCCGACGCAGCGTTGGGGCGTGCCAAGATGTCAGACAGTTGCGGGGCAGGGCGAGCCGAGACAACGGCAGCTCAAAATCGGCCCCCCGAGCCCTCCCAAAATCCAAACGCACCAGGGTTTTCCGAAGTGCGTTCAGCCGTTGGGACGAGGAACCCCCCCGAAGGCCGTTGTCTCAGCTCGCCTTCTTCAGCTGACTGTCTGGTAGCTTTCCCCAGTCGCCTCCCACGATGACGCACTCCTCGTCGCGCACAACCGCTGATAATCGCCATCCCCCACGCCTTCCCCTCTCACGCCTTCCACGGCCTCATGGGCGCAGTCCCCTCTCCCCCTCCAGAAACCAGAATCCCCACCCCAGCTGAAAATCCGTGTGTCCTGCCCCGCAAGCGTCGAGAATCCCCGCCCCACCCACCCTCCCTAACTAGACCCACCCTTCTGAAAGGGCGAGGGAGGGGGGTCGCCCCCCCCGTTGCGCGCCAGCAGACGACGAAGCGACGACGACGAACACGACGACGCCGCCGCCGCCGACGACGACAACGGGGGCAACGCTGACGACGAGGCTGACGACGACGAGAATAACGACCGAATACAGACGACGACGAGGGTGGGATAGTAAAGCGTCGGGGGGGAGGGGCATTGCTGTGGGCGGGTCGGTCGGCTAGGGCGGGACATTACATGCAAACTTGACTCGTTGACGGGGAGAGAATGGCAAAGACAGCACAATACATTACCCTGGCGACGTACCCAAACCCTGCGCAATGCGGGGCACGAAAAGCCTGGGACACGTTATTCGGGGATGGACAGACCCCCCTTTAGTAAAACGTGGTTTAGTGAAAACGACCTGAGGCCCAAACCTGGCGGGCGCAAGCCTGGAAAATAACGGCCACGGCGCCCTCTCGAGAACCGAAAACGGACAATTCACTAATCGACGTGTCACTGTTGGGGGTTCTGTCCAGCCCCGAGTTATACAGAGGTGATCACGTGACACGGGCGCATATAATTTTGCGGGCGGCGTTCGTGAGGCTCGAAGCCCCCCCCCAACGGCGAGGTCTCGCTCAGATCTGCGCGGTGCCACACTCCGCCGGACCCGCCAGCAGCCCTCGAAAGTGGCGACAACTTCGCAGATCGCAGCCCCCCAGGGACGGCGAGGTCTCCCTCAGATCTGCGCGGTGCCTCACTCCGCTGGGCCCGCCAGCAGCCCTCGAAAGTGGCGACAGTTTCGCAGATCGCAGCCCCCCCCCCCCAGGGACGGCGAGGTCTCGCTCACATCTGCGCGGTGCCTCACTCCGCGAGACCCACCAGCAGCCCTCGAAAGTGGCGACAACTTCGCAGATCGCAGCCCCCCCCCCAGGGACGGCGAGGTCTCGCTCACATCTGCGCGGTGCCTCACTCCGCTGGGCCTACCCTCACTCCGCTAGACCTCGAAAGTGGCGACAATTTCGCAGATCGCAGCCCCCCAGGGACGGCGAGGCCTCCCTCAGATCTGCGCGGTGCCTCACTCCGCTGGACCCGCCAGCAGCCCTCGAAAGTGGCGACAGTTTCCCAGGTCGCAGCCCCCCCCCCCAGGGACGGCGAGGTCTCGCTCAGATCTGCGCGGTGCCCCACTCCACAGGACCCACCAGCAGCTCTCGAACGTGGCGACAGTTTCGCAGATCGCAGCCCCCCAAGGACGGCAAGGTCTCGCTCACATCTGCGCGGTGCCTCACTCCGCTGGGCCTACCCTCACTCCGCTAGACCTCGAAAGTGGCGACAATTTCGCAGATCGCAGCCCCCCCCCAGGGACGGCGAGGCCTCCCTCAGATCTGCGCGGTGCCTCACTCCGCTGGACCCACCAGCAGCCCTCGAAAGTGGCGACAATTCCGCAGATCGCAGCCCCCCCCAAGGACGGCGAGGTCTCGCTCAGATTTGCGCGGTGCCTCACTCCGCCGGACCCGCCAGCAGCCCTCGAAAGTGGCAACAGTTTCCCAGATCGCAGCCACCCAGGGACGGCGAGATCTCGCTCAGATCTGCGCGGTGCCTCACTCCGCTGGACCCACTCCGCTAGACCTCGAAAGTGGCGACAATTTCGCAGATCGCAGCCCCCCCCCAGGGACGGCGAGGTCTCGCTCAGATTTGCGCGGTGCCTCACTCCGCCGGACCCGCCAGCAGCCCTCGAAAGTGGCGACAATTTCCCAGATCGCAGCCCCCCGGGACGGCGAGGTCTCGCTCAGATCTGCGCGGTGCCTCACTCCGCGAGACCCACCAGCAGGCCTCGAAAGTGTCGACAAATTCGCAGATCGCAGCCCCCCAGGGACGGTGAGGTCTCGCTCAGACTTGCGCGGTGCCTCACTCCGCTATACCCACCAGCAGCCCTCGAAAGTGGCGACAACTTCGCAGATCGCAGCCCCTCCCCAGGGACGGCGAGGCCTCCCTCAGATCTGCGCGGTGCCTCACTCCGCTGGACCCACCAGCAGCCCTCGAAAGTGACGACAATTTCGCAGAGAGTAGACCCCCCTCCTGGGGACGGCGATGTCTCGCTCAGATCTGCGCGGTGCCTCACTCCGCTGGACCCATCAGCAACGCTCGAGAGTGGCGACAATTTCGCAGATCGCAGCCCCCCAAGGACGGTGAGGTCTCGCTCAGATCTGCGCGGTTCCTCACTCCGCGAGACCCACCAGCAGCCCTCGAAAGTGGCGACAATTTCGCAGCCCCCCCCCCAGGGACGGCGAGGTCTCGCTCACATCTGCGCGGTGCCTCACTCCGCTGGACCCACCAGCAGCCCTGGAACGTGGCGACAGTTTCGCAGATCGCAGCCCCCCCCCCAGGGACGGCGAGGTGTCGCGGGAGACAGGAGGCGGAGGCAGGAGACAGGAGGAAGGAAGCAAGGACGCGGGAGCAGTGCTCCATTCTAAACGAACACCCAACCAAGGAGGGTTGGGAATAATTACCCTGGCGACGTACCCAACCCCTGCGCAACGCGGGGCATGAGTAGCTTGGGAGACGTTATACGGAGGTGATGACGTGACATGGGCGCATATACTTCTGCGAGCGGCATTCGTGAGGCTCGCAGCCCCCCAAGGATTGCGATGTCTCGCTCAGATCTGCCTGGTGCCTCGCTCCGCTGAACCCGCCACCAGCCTGCAAAAGTTGCGACGGTTTCGCAGATCGCAGCCCCCCAAGGACGGCGAGGCCCCGCTCAGATCTGCGCGGTGCCAAGTATAACTCCATGGGACTTCCACGACCGCCAGGTTCCTTACACAAGGACGCCACGGCTGCCCCCGCCAAAGAAGACTTGCAACGGTTGGCACCGATCCTCGTCGAAGCCGCAACCCCGAACCAAACACCCATTGGTTGCAACGTGTGCGCACTTCGGGGATGGACAGATACCCCTTTTTAAATAAAACGTGGTTGAATGAAAACGACCTCGGGCCCAAACCTGACGGGCGCAAGCCTGGAAAATGACGGCCGCGGCGCCCTCTCGAGAACCGAAAACGGGCAATTCACAAATCGACGTGTCAAGGTGGGGGTTCTGTCCACTCCCAAGGAGGAGGAGGCGGATGAGGAGGAGGAGGAGGAGGAGGAGGAGGAGGAGGAGGAGGAGGAGGAGGAGGAGGCGGAGGCGGAGGAGGAGGGGGAGGGGGAGGGGGAGGAGGAGGAGAGGAGGAGGAGGAGGAGGAGGAGGAGGAGGAGGAGGAGGAGGTGGAGGAGGAGGAGGAGGAGGAGGAGGAGGAGGAGGAGGAGGAGGAGGAGGAAGAGGAGGAGGAGGCGGAGGAGGAGGAGGAGGAGGAGTAGGAGGAGGCGGAGGAGGAGGAGGAGGAGGACTCTCCCAAGAACTCTTCCCTTCGGGGGGCCCGCCGTGACTCCTGCTCTGTGCGGGCCTAATACGGTCGGGAGCAATTGCGTAGCGTGTCGCGGCGGCGGCCCTGCGGGCGGCGCGACACGCTGAGCAAGGGCTCCTGACCGGAAGTCCGGAAGAGGCCCCGAAGAGGCCCCCGACAGGCAACGCCGAAGCTATGCAGCGCTGCGTCCACGCCAAACTACAGCGCCGTGGCGCTGCTTCCCAAACAGCCTGGGATTGCGGTTTTGCCGAGCCTTTTCGGGAGAGCTGGACAGAACCACCCTGAAAAATTACATGTCGACGCTGCGCTGGCACAGTGGCGAGGTTTGCCGCAGGCCGCTGGATAATGCGACCAAAGGCACAGCGCTGGCGCCGTCTCGAACGCTTCACAGCTCGAATACCCATCACGAGTATTCTCGAACTTTCCCGCAGGGCCATGATCACTGTCTACGCACACACGCACATTGCAGAGCCTCGTGCAGGCATCACGCGCGGCGCCCGCAGCCCGAACCTGGTCGACCGTGCTGATGCACTGACGCCACTGGACGCCGTCGCACCCGAAGTCGTGGAGGACGGTGCACTCCTCGTCGGCGAGGCACCTATGGGCGCCCGAGTTAGGTACGGAAATACTGGTTACGATGCACAACAACACATGTTGTCCAGCTCTGGCTGCGGTTTCTGTTGTGCAGGCGACAAGCTGCCCGACATGCACAACGCCCACGCAGGCACCGGCATCGGGCCTTGTGCACCCAGAGGACAAGAGCTGCTGTCAATCTCCTTCCCCAGTCTTTCCGCACCAGAACCGCAACAGCCCGGAGCACTCCCAGGGTGCGCCCCCTCAGCCTTTCGAGGCGAATTCAGCCGTGGCGACGAGGGCCACCCAGGAGGCCCCCAAACAGGCGAAGACGAGGCAAGGGCAGCGATGTCGGTGCCTATTCCGATCGTGACGAGCACCTGCCCTCCGCCTCCGCCAGCGTCAGCACGTCGGGGCGGCAGTGCAGCATCCAGGCGTCGCCGTCGACCCGAGGCCCATCCACGCAGCCTGCGCCGCGCGACGCCCCCGCTGGGTCGGCCGAGGCCGTCGTCCGCTCCTCGCCCTGGGGAGAGGGGAGGCACTCATCACCACGTGAGCACTCTCTTACTCGAGGCTTCGACTTTGGGCGGAAAGGGGGGGAGGAGGGGGGGGTCGGAGGGCACCAACTATACACCAACACCGATCCTGGCCCAGGATCACCCTGGGCCCAGGATCGGTGTATATGCCTTCTTGCGCAAGGCAGGAGGGCGTATACACCGATCCTGGGCCCAGGGTGATCCTGGCCAGGATCGGTGTTGGTGTATAGTTGGTGCCTTCCTAGGGGGGGGTCTGGCTCCGGACCTCTGCCGACTGCGACCGCTTGCAGCCGTGCGTCCTAGGGGGGAGGGGGAGGCTCCGCGCGCCAGAGACAGCAGAGACCTGCTCCATGAGGGGAGGCGGAGGGGGGGGGGGGGGCGAGGGCCCGCGCCGATCGGTAAAACAATGAATAAGAAAACGATCACCACAACACTTTTGTTTGATCACAGCGTCACGACCGCAACCACGGCCACGGTCACCACGTGAGGAACGAGGCCACGGCCAGCAGCAAAGCTGGTGGGTGGAGGGGCAACCCGATCGCAAGACCGTCCTCTCACCACCACCAACACCAACTTTGTTTGACCACAGCGCCACGACCGCAACTAACGCCGCCACGCGAGGAACGAGGCCACTGCTGGCAGCAAAGCTGCGGGGCCGACGGGCAACCCTGTCGCAGAACCGTCCTCGCAGGACTAGAGGCCTCCTAGACGGGGTCCGGGTAGATGGGGACGGAGGATCGCGCCGCATCGGCAATGCATCGCCGATGCATCCGCGATGTATCGGCGCTGCACCGGCGACGTCGGCGATGCATCGGCGCCCTCGGCGTGGAGAAACCCTGGCTTCACACTGAGCCGCACCGTCGACGCGTCGTCGATGCGGAGCGACTCTTCGACCCCATCGGCTCAGGTCCCAGTGGAGGCCCAGACCCAGGCCCCTGACGCCATGATTGTTTCACAACGTCGACCCCCAAAGCTCTCCACCCATTCCCCGGGACTGCTTCCCCATCCCGCGTCGTCGTTTGACGGTCCCTGGGCCCGGCGAGGGCCCCCGGAGGCCGAAAAGAGGGAACAGTCCTGCGTCGTGACTTTTCTGTCATGACCCGACCCTGACCTTCCAGAGAGCTAATTTTTAGCACTGGAGGCCTAAAAACCTAAAAAACTAAACGAAACAGCCTAAAACCAAGACGTAGAATAGCTCTGGGATAGGTTTTTAGGTCGGGTGCTATTTTTTAGCCCTCCTGGAAGGTCAGGGGAGGGGGCCTGGGAAGGACGGCGTCGCGGGAACTCACCAGCACCAGCACCGCCCGAGGAGCGCGCGGGGGCCGCACTTCGGCGGGGCGGCGCCGAGCGCGCAGGGTGCCCCGCCGAAGTGCCCCCCCGCCCCCCCGCCGCCCAGGGGCGCACGCACACCCGCGCCGCCGCCGAGGCCCCTGCGCCCCTCCCTCCGCGGTGGCCACTCCGGGGAGCCTCCCGCGGCCTCTCTTGCTGGCTCTCGCGCAGCGGCGCGCCTCGCCGCGACTCGAGAGGCTCGTCGGAGCTCGTCGACGCCAAGTCGGCCAATGTCCGCGCCGATCGACGCGAATCGACGCTGGCGGGGCGCGCTCTCGTCGCCTACCGGGCGCCCTCGCACGATCATTTTCTCTGCGCGAGCTCATGGACGGATTGGGAGCCCCAACGATACTGCGACTATACGCATTCCCCCGCGAAGGCCACCGCTGATGATCGGGGGGATGATGATGATGATGATGATGATGATGATGATGATGATGATGATGATGATGATGATGATGATGATGATGATGATGATGACGACGACGACGACGATGATGATGATGATGATGATGATGATGATGATGATGCTGATGCTGCTGATGATGATGATGATGATGATGATGATGATGATGATGCTGATGATGCTGATGCTGATGATGATGATGATGATGATGATGCCGATGATGATGATGACGATGATGAGTATGATGCTTATGATGATGGTGCACGCGGATGAGGGTGTCGGGAGCTCTCCGCTCGGACTGCCCCTCGGCCTGATGATGATAATGAATATGATAGTGAGAATGATGATGCTGGTGGTGGTGGCGATGATAATAATGATGATGCTGATGATGATGAGGGGGAGGAGGATGGGGATGGTTATGATGATGTTGATGATGACAATGATGATGCTGACGGTGATGATGATGATGACGATGATGATGATGACGATGCGGATGACGGTGATGGTGATGGCGATGGTGATGGTGATGGTGATGGTAATTGTGATGGTGATGGTGATGGTGGTGGTGATGGTGATGGTGATGGTGATGGTGATGGTGATGGTGATGGTGATGATGATGATGATGATGATGATGATGATGATGATGATGATGATGATGATGATGATGATGATGATGATGATGATGGGGATGATGTTAACTGGGGAGAAGGACGAGGAGGGGACGTCCGAGTTTCGTTGTAAGCCGAGAGCTCAGGGTGGGGAAGCCCCCGCAGCATGATAGACCCTGTGAGGTGATACCGAGGCTCCCTTGATGTGCTACCCAAGGCTCGGAAGGGCTCCAGCCTTCTGCACAGCGTTCTGAGCCTTCTCCGAAGACGGAGGCGGCCTCGCAGAGGGCGCGAGGGCTTCTGGGAAGCCCCGCCGCCTTCTGAGCATACCTTCCCTCACTCGCCTGGCCCCCCCCGGTCGCGCCGCCGACTGCCACCCCACGCCGTGCCCAGGACCCGCTGTGCCCCGCGGGCGTCGCTCGTGGATCACCGACGCGGGCCCTTCAAAGGGAGCGGGCCTCGAGCCGCGGCCCCGAGTCGGAAAAGCTGGCCTCCGAGCTTGCCTCGACGCGCCTGGTAGCTCTGGGCCTCCTCCTTGCCTTGCACGGTCGTAAGACGGCAGGGGCAACCAACATGAGCATGCGCGGGCTTGGATCGGGGGCGTCCAGTGCGGGCCAGAGGTAGATCCACTCCTTCTGCGTCTTGGAGCTCCCGGCCCACCTCCCCACAAACCAGCGGCGCACGGGATACGGATAAGCACCTGGCCCCTGGAGGCAAGCCTTTTTTGCCCATCTCCGCGGCGCCTCGGCCTCCTGGCGCCCCTTCCTAGAAATGCCAGTACGCAGCGGATAGGGGTAAAGAGGCTTGCCCGCATCCAAACGAGGGCGTTCAACGGAGGGGGTGTCGCAAGTCATGGCTCGAGGCACGAGCGCGGCCCCGGGGCTGAACGGCAGGACGTGTTGAGATAAGAAGAGGGGAACCTCATGGCCCCAGCCTGGGTCTGGAAGGCAAAAGACGCCAACACCGCCACTCTCTGCGTTCGGACCAGACCTTCGATGAGAATCCGGCCGTGACGGCAAAGGCTCTCCAGGGCGTGCAGCGGCATCAGAATCTTCTCTTCCTCTCTGAGCCCTCCCCCCCCAACCCTCACCCCCTGGGGAAGGGGAAGGAGAAGGGAAAGGGGAATGGGAAGGGGAAGGAGAAGGGAAAGGGGAATGGGAAGGGGAAGGGGAAGAGGAGGAAGAGGAGGAGGAGGAGGAGGAGGAGGAGGAAGAGGAAAACGAGGAGGAGGAGGAGGAGGAAGAGGAGGAGGAGGAGGAGGAGGAGGAGGAGGAGGAGGAGGAGGAGTGGAGGAGGAAATGAGGAAGATGGAGAAAAGGTCCTCGACGCCGCGTGGCTCCCGGGTCGGATCTCGGGCCTCTGGCGGGCGTGCTCGGGGCGACCCGGGCACCCCGGGAGAGCTCTCAGCGAGGTGCACAGCCAGAGGGTGGAGAACTCAGGGGACCGACGCGAGACGCCCGCGAACCCCGAACCTCTTGGGCGCCCGAGTTATCCGGGGTAACTCGGGTCCGGGGTAACTCGGGTTTGGATTCCCGAAAAAAGGAACCCGAGTTATCCCTGACCCGAGTTACCCCTGATGATTCGGGGCTCTGGACGCCCGAGTTATCCGGGGTAACTCGGGTCCGGGGTAACTCGGGTTTGGATTCCCGAAAAACGCACCCGAGTTATCCCTGACCCGAGTTACCCCTGATGATTCGGGGCTCTGAACCTCGAAGGAAAGTGGCCGCCCCCGATTGAGTGGTTCCCTTCTGCTTGAACGCCCGGAATGGGTGCAGAAAGAAAGGGTACGATGCGTAAGAGCAAGTGCTGTCCAGCACCGGCAGCGGCCGCTGTTGGGCAGGCGGCCTTGTGTCTCGAATGGACAACGACCGCAGCGACGCCGACAACGAGCCCTGTACAACATGGGCATGAACTGCTGTCGATCTTCGTGCCCCCTCTGTCCGCTACGCAAGTTGGCGATTATCAGACAAGATGTGGGGGAACAA